ATTACTGCAATGGTCACTTCTGAATTTACCGCATTGTGATATATTGTACTATCAACTAACAATTTGCAAAATTATAATAGTCTGAAAACTCTACAGAATAATCATAAAAAAAATATGGATTATGGGTGGGAGAGGTGTTTAACAATAACACAATAACACATCCATATACCACCATTCATACAAAACCACAATTTAATATTAAACTGTACAAATATTCTTTGTTTAAATACCAAAATTATGTACAGATATATATATATATATATGTGTAACAAAATATTTGAATAATGAGTGGTAAGAGTAAGCCATTAAAAATCAATTCAATATTAAAAGATTTTTGAACTGCTGTTTAAAAAAAAAAAATAATTAAAAAATAACGAGATAGGTAACAAACTGTGACATAACCATTATACATAGTCAATACTTATCATATTAAATTAGCTATAACAAAAAAGATTAATGCAAATTAGCATCATGACCACAAGAACACATTGCATTTTCTATGCTGCATGAAACTTATTTTCAATTTATAATTTAATAGAATGTCAACATTAAATTTGTTTTAGGTAAAATTTGTGTATTTAAACATATGCATGCTCACTGTAATATTGAGCTAGAAGCTTTTTTTTCTAACTTTTACATATGCAAACATAAAATAATAAAAGTGAAATACTACTTTATGAATGCAATATACCTCCCATTTAAATAAACTTTTTTCAATATCATCTCCTCAAAATGAATAATTTTGATTACCAATTTATAGGATGTAATACAACTAGAAATTCAAGCACAGATAGGATAACAGTCAAAGAGCATTCAGTCTAAAATATATAAAATAATTTAAATAATCTTTTATGCCCTATAAACAAACTACAGATAAAGATATGAATGAAACCAGTCAAATGTATAAACTGTTCACAATCTTACTTATAAAATATACTAAATTTCATTAAATATAAAGTATAATATAAATACTCAAATCTAAAAAGTGTCATTTCTAAACAGTTTGCTTCCGCATTTAACTTATGAGATCAATATAAGGTACAAAAATGAGATATATATCAAATCTTATAAATAATACAAACATTAAATTAGAACAAATCCTATTCTATGCCATGAGCATCATTTGAAATTAATCAATACTAAAATGATTTGAATAAGTTACCAATAAATAATACAGTGATAGTTACATAAATCAGTCAAAATTAAAGCAATATGAATTTCAAAACTTAAATAAAATATTCTCATAAAATAAAAAGTTAATAATGATATATATATATATCATTTATAACTGCAATGTTAAAATGAAAATAAAATGATCACAGATATAGGTTTATAAATATAGATGTATACAAATTAAAAAAAAAAAAAAGAAATAAATAAAATACAAAAATTATACTGTAAAAAAGTAGTTGGTATCATAAGGGAATTAAGTCGATTCACAAGAGTGAATGATAATAAAATGTATAAAAAAACAAATAAATTCATGTAAATCTATAATAATCTACAATGAAATTAACAATTTGTTTTAGGATAATCTGGATAATAGTGTATACTTAAATTCCATGTGCATGGTAAAATACCAAACTCTATTCAATGTGATAATGTTATCATATTAACTATTAGAGTGTAAAAAGTTATGATAATCGGTGGATAAAAAACAATAAAGATAAAGCCTTATGATTTCATACGGATTATTCAATAATAAGTATTACTTGATGAAAAAAATATTGACTATCATCAAAATAAAACATTCGAAATAAACATATATTTTTGTTTTCAAATTTTAGTTTATTTTCTTCACCACATTATTACAAGGAGTTTTGGAAAGTTATACAAGTTACAGATAAAAAATGCTAATATAGACACTATACTGAAACCGGTAGGGGTTGAATATTGGAATCAACAATGAGCATGTTCTTGTTATGAGAAATATAAATCTTAGATTGGATATAAAAACCAGGAATAAATTAAAGTACCTTATAGCTTTAATATACTGAACAAATAAGCAGAAATGATTTTTTCCACCAATTGAAATAGTTAAATATACATAATAATGATCCATTATTTCTATATAATGTTATTTGTTTGTAGAAAACTTAATTCTATTATTTTATTGAGGAAAGTTATATTTCATATATTTTTTTTTTTTTTTTGGCTTAGTTTTATTTTTTACCATATTTCTATAAAACTTATTTATATTAAAACTAAGATTCATAAAACAACAAATGGCATTTTTTATCACATATTGAAAGTATACCATTGGCATGCCCATTGTAACTGTGCCATCAGCAAGTAATATGTTAACTTTCCTAATAGACATTCTTTATAGGATTATTCCTTATAAAAGAAGATTGTTTCTTATAAAAGAAACAATTAAAACACAAAATAAAATTTTAATATAAACAAGAAACTTGTTTAAGCAATCTTAAAACACTTTCAAATTGCTTGAAATGATAATGAGGAGGCAGCAATAAGTGTTAAAATTAAAATAAATCTAGGGATTAATTTAGTAAAACTACCACATAATAATGTGAATGAATGAATATATCAAGTAATCAAACTTCAAATAATCACAAAATGAAAAAAAATATATTAAAACCAAAAAAAGAGAGCTAGGTTTACCTATATTTAATTTTTGTGGTACAAAATGAACTTAGAAAACTGTCTATATACAAAACAAAATATCAAAAGGTATACATAATATTTTAACTGATCTTGTAATGCTTTTATGAATTAATCCTCCATAACATTTAACTTATGCATATAATATAGATTCCATTTAACATGGTACATGTAATTAGGGATGGGTGATAGTCGATAGTTTAAAACTATCAATAGTCCTAGAGACTATCTATGAACCAATAGTTCATTTCCTCCAATCAAACACAAATTAATTTCTTGATAGTGGATAATTGTTGACAGTTGGAAAATACTGTTGAAGAGAAGTAGAAGCAACTATTATTAGAATTAGAAACTATAATTATTAGAGCCTTTCAAGGTAAAAAGAAATATAACCTCAAATAATTTTCTTAGCAATTTTTTAAATCCCCACTGGTGTCTATAGAAAAAAACAAAAACAAGGGTTACCTTTATTTCTCCTTTTTATTTTCATAAAAATTATAAAATCTGCAATGATGGCAGAACAGTTTAATTACATATTAATGTAATATTATCAAACAGTATATAGAAAATTACATTTGAAATTATAGGACATATGCATTTCTCTCATATTATTGTTCTTTTTTTTTTTTTTAGTAGTACAAAAAATACTAAATTGATGTAGTCGTATCTTTATTGAATATCAAAGTCATAGACATAAATAATTTATTTTTCTAGATAAATGTATTTTCCTGTCAATAAAGATTTTCATTGTTTGTTAATTAATCATTTTTAGCGCCATAATCAAGAATGTATTCCAACATAAATGTTAATTATTGTGATGAAGTGTACACAGCATTTAAGGTAAATAAATAAAGAATACAGAAAAAATAAATCCTTCTGAAGTCTGTGGAGATTACTTTCTGAATTATCAATATTTTTTGTCGATATTATTGAACTATATTTAGTGAAACCTATCTACTATCACCCATACCTACATGTAATATAGATGCATTTCACATTAATCATGAATATCCAATGTAACTTCATTAAAACTACTATTATTAACACCTTAAATTGATATTTTCATTATCTGACAAAAGTTACTTAGAGCTGGTTAAGACTAAAAAATAAATAATAAACAAAACCAATGGTTATTCAAGGAGACCACATACATTCTACAAATTTTCATCAAAAATAAATTTAAATAGCCTTTCCACAAAACATGTTTCTCACTTTATTTCCGGAATATATATTATAAAAACAGTAATAATTATAATTATTTCAATTATAAGGAAACACCAGAGGAAAGTTTGATTTTTTTAAAAAAGACACCCAGATAATAACAATAAACAATAAAACAAAGAAATAAGTTCAGTAAATAACAGAAAGTTAAAATAACCATAATAAGTATTTAAATAGAACTGATATATAATATTTTCAAGAATTATTTTATTTTCTTAAACTAATTAAAAAAGTATTACAATTAATCAATTTTTATAAATATGTCATTGCAATTAATAAGTTAACTTAACAAAATATAAATTAATTGAGCCCAGAATAACACGAGTGTTGACAAATATACTAAATTAGAAAAATGATATCACTCCTATTTTTTTTTAAATGAACCATAATAAGTTTAAGATCATAGTTGCTCAGCAATGGAACTTGTGAATACCAGCTTTCAATAACATAAAAGCACCAAAATGTAATCATATAATTTTAAAAAAAAAAAATTTAGCTTAATTTAATTGTTTTTTCTTTTTGTAATTTTTTAATATAAAAGTTCAATTGAAGGCATCAGCAGAAAGTGTGAACACAAATTTGAATTGATAATCTATACTTGTATCAGTAACAATGACTTTGATATTCCAATCTTTTCAGTTATTACTTCCATTTTTCTTCACACTAAATTAATTAATTTTGTATCAAACCTCAATTAAATGAAGAGGTGACAGACACCAAAGGGAAAACAATACTACATATTTTATTATTATTGCACTATTAGAAATAAAAATAGAAATTGTACAGAAAATAAAAATAGATCAATAAAAAATGAATACATTGCTCCCTCAATAACCCAACACTGCATTTATCTAACATCTCCATGTGGCTATTATTTCTAGGAAAAACTTTAGACTATGGGAGGGAGTAAAAAAAAAAAGGAAATGGGCTGTTTTTTCACTGAAACAGATTATTATATACACTGTTGTAAATTTTAATTTAATTACTTAATCTCAGGAATACCTTTCATGTTTTCTATGAGCAACCCATGTAGTTTTTCTATTTAAAATAAGTTTTTATAAAAAAAAAAAAAAAGTAGTGAAAATGACAGAAATGAGTTTTTATGACTGCAAATTCCCCAATCTATATTAATTAATATATATCACAGGATATAACATCCAGGATTGAGAGCAAAATTCAAGTCTAATAAATTCTCAACATCAGTGTATTGTAAGGGAAAATGATAAGAGATTCTTAATCCAGATGGAAAATTCAATCCCTGTGCTTTAAGAACTCACTTGTTGCAATCCATTTAGGAGAACAGCCAACCAATTGCATTGAAAATTATTAAAATGGCATTGAAACCATTAATTCCTCCATAATCCAGCACTGCATATTTTCAGCATCTCCACAGAAAGCAAGCAGCTTAATGATAGAAGAATCACTTATGGCAGCATTACATAACATGTGTGGAACAAGGCCAGAAAGAAATAGCTGCTGATAGAAATGTTTAGTAATTAGTTGGCCATGTCTTGGCATCTTACTATAGAAGAGAAATTATCAATTAAAGTATCAAAAAGTTTTATTATAAAATTTTCTGCTGGATTGGAGAGAGTGCACTGCTTTATGAAAAACTAGTTTTATTATCTTGACAAAAATCAGCTTATGGGGTGTCCTATAAAAACCAACCATTTCCATCATGGTTTCATATATATTAACAGCATACAAATTGTTTAATCCTAATTGTTTTCATAAATAACAAAACATAAAAAAGAAATAAAACTCTTGGGAAAAAATATATTTTATCAAAGACTTTAGATTATATCATTATATTAATTAATTAATTAATTCCCACTGAGAAGTTTAATGAAAGAAGTATGTCCTTAAAAACAAAGTTTCACATTATCTGTATAGCTAGTATTATCTTGTCTATTTTTACATAGTTACTCCTTTCTCCCTCATTACCTTTTAGTTCTTGAAGATAACCTACAATGTTGGTTAAAATGTCATAAAAAATAAACTAAATGAAATCAACTGGAAGAAGCTATAAAAAAAAAAAAAAAATACCCTGAATTTACAATATATGGTCAAACATTTTTTATTCTAATTTTATTACAATTAGATCTATACTTTATTTTATATTATTGTTTGATAAACATACTATAGTTTTTAACAGAAAAAGGGTCATTTTTTGAGGACACCCATTTATTAAAAAGTAATAACATTAACAGATTTAAGTAATTAGTCTTGGAGAATGTAATCCTTCAACTTGTTTGTCCACAGCAGGAAAGTGACAGCTTCCTTGTGGACCCCAATCATGTAAACCACTTGAGTTAGCTAATCTGTGAGTTAACCTATGAGCGATTGAAAATCCACCACTGCCTTCCAATTGTGTCAAAACTATGATGACTTGTCTGCAAAAAAAATTATAAATATGTTATTTTAAAAAAAATATCTTAAAAATATATTGAATTTTTTGTTTTCATAACATATAATAATTTTACTAGTTTATAAATATGTGTTTATATACACACATGTACGCACACGCACACACGCACCCACACACACAAATATATATAGGTATGTATATATATATATATATATATATATATATATATATATATATATATATATATGTAAAATTGAGAATTTTAACTATCAACCATATGATACATAAACCTTTAAAATATTATATGCTACTATTTTATTGTATAGGTTACTGTGTGCTTTGATTAAGGCAATATAGTAACGGTTTGTTACAGAATTCTTGTTTTAGGTACTATTTGATTATTTTATGGAAATTAAGTATTTTAGATGTTTAATTAATGTTAGTTAATAAAACTTGTTTCAGGATTGCTTAACATCTTTTACATTGAATACTAAATATTTACCAATTATAAAGAATGGTTTTATAGAAGAAAAGATTATATGTGAACATCATTAAGACAAATAAGTATCATTTGTAATACTTATATTTGTACTACTTAATAAGTAGTATTTAATATCTGAGTATGATGGTAAAAAAATCTGGTTGATAATTTCACTTATCACCCTCTTAGCAGAAACAAGTATTTTCAGACAAAGGGGAAGTGAAAGTAAAAATTATTAACGCTATATTGATTTATATTTCATTGTGGATATTTTTATTTATTTAAGTACCCTTATATATACAAATAATATATACAATAATACCAACGAAAACATTTAGGAAAACCGCATAGGTATACATACATAATATTGTCGGAGTCCGTATTATATTAAGCTCATGTTACTATGGAAGCCTAATGAGCTCGGGCGCGCTCTCATATCCCTTTGGATCCTTCATTACAACTATTCCCTGTCACGATCTCTTATTTCTCATTTAGTTAATTATCATATTCTTTCACATTTTATATTTAACTACTTTTTATATTAGAGATCAATTGGAAATGGTTAATTGTTTCAAATAAAAAAAATTAAAGGTACTTTAGAGGAAATTAATATTGAAAATTAACCATTTAAGCCCTGTTATAGAACATCAATGAGAATAAAATCTACATAACATTAACAACTGCTTAATTTTACATTGATATAATGAATTTAATCAAAATCGTTGGAGCCGTTTTTGAGAAAAAAAGTAAAAATGTGTTTCATCGATGGTATAAAGGGACACTTCCGGTAAACCAATTTTGACGAAAAAGTTGCTTTAACCTCTCAGGTATATACAAACCTTAAATATGCAATTTCACTTTCGTAAGACTTTTTGTTTTTGAGCTAGACCTGTCACATACACACAGAAACATACACACATACATGCAGACTATTTTGCGGAATTCGGTTATTTGGACTCAGGAGGCCTCAAAACATGTATTTCCGTTGAAAACTGAGATTCGAAAATTTTCACGATCACAATACTGTCCCTTACTATGTATTTCATATATAGGTAAGAGTAAATAAAAATATGCTTGGATGGATCCATGTGCTATTGGATGGAAAAAAATATGCTAGATCCATATTATAGGTGGTGTAGGAAAAGTTGAAGTTTTAAAATTTGTAATGATACCAGTTTATATAAATGGTACAGTGCTAATTTAATTAAATTATCAGCTGACTGAGAATGTGGAAAAGATCATTTTTAAAAAAAGGGCTGGTCTATGATTCATACAGCATTTCAAAATAAATATGTTGTTCTTCAGGGCTTAGAGGCGTAAAACCCCGAGGTCATCAACGCCTATCTAATCTTTGTTTTAATTACCTCAATACTATTTTTTATTGCGGGGGAGGAGGGGAGGGAAGTAAATAAAATAAATAATTAACTTGTCATGTTATATAGGGGCTTCACCCACGTCATTTCTGGAGGGACTGTCCCTCCAGAAATGACGTGGGTGAAGCCCCTATATAACATAACAAGTTAATGTTCACTGAACATATTAATTACAACATTAATGATGAACATATAACGGAGGACTCATCAAGATCTGAAAATGACCCTTAGTATGGTCGAAACGTCATATTAATGTGTATCAATAAAATGTTGGTGATAATTGGCCTTATTTATTGTAAAAAATAAAAATGTTTAATATGGTTTTTGGTGGCTTGTTTATCCATGGAAGATCATAATTTTTTGTTTTTTCTAAAGATAATTCTTGGAGAAATGCAGTAACCGTGTTAATTCTTTCTGACAAAGGAAGAGTTGAATTTGTTTTATTTTCAAAAACTTTTGAAAATTTTGGCTTAAAAATATATTCATATGTCGGGTGTTCAGTTTGAAAGTATAGCCTATAAATATAATTAATACCTAGTTTTTTTCATATAAAAAAAAGAGGGGTTCTCCTACTTCAGAACACAAACTGAGAACTAGGTTGGTCCGAAACGCGCCAGTCTTAATTCTGCTTACTGCTTCAAGTTTATTAAGGGACTGGAAATGTGCAGAACTGTAGATAAAACAAATATGGTCCAGCTTTGAGCATATTAATGAGCGATGCAGTCTTAGGGTGGTGCTATCCGAACCTGAGGAGGTACCACTTATCTTAATATGGTGAGTTTTTTGGTTGCGGCCATTATTAAGTGTGAAATAAATTTTTTCCAGGTTAGTCTTCAGGTCAATACCATACCCAAGAATCTGTGACTGATTTCGCTTTCTACTAAAATGGAGGCACTTTGTTTTTTCAGCAGAGAATTCAAGACCAGTGGAAAGGGACCAGTTTTTTATTATATTTACGGCTTCCTGTAATTTGTGCTGAATAGTGCCAATGTTGTTAGAGTGGTATATGATGGATTGATCATCAGCAAATTGTAAAGGTTTGACACCTCAAGGCAAGTGAAGTCCCAAGTCATTTATTGTAATACAGAACTATATAGGACTGAGGACACAGCCTTGTGGGACGCCACTGATCTGTTTATGCTCCTTGAATGTTTCACAGCCTATTCTTACTAAAATGGTGATTTGAAAGAATTTGCTTGATGTAATTGAATATGTTCCCTATTATTCCAACTGATGATAGCCTTTTTAAGATTACATCATGTTGTGTGCTGTCAAAGCTTTAAAATAAAAATTTTTGATTCTTTAATAGAATTTGACCTTTATTGCTAGAAGCAAATACATATTTTTCAGATAAATTTAAAATTTATCAAATGGTTTGTAATAGATAGATCAAATTAATACTATAGATGATTTGATGCAAGAGTTGAAGAAATTCAACGATTCATATCTAGGAAGAAACTAGATGATAAGGAAGGCAAGGGGGATAAGAAATGTGACGATGAAAAGAAATTGCCCAACTTTTCAATCATCCACAAGAAACTGTGTTCATTATGCCAGCCCCTTGGAAATAAATACAGATACCAACTATTACAGTTCATAGAAATAAAGGAAAACCAACACAACCTGATAAAATTAATTTAACAGGAACATCAAGTTAAAGAGAAGGATTTGAATGACGTTGAAACGGGACAGGACGATAGTGATTAAAAAAATTAATACGTCCAGAAAAATTGACATCATCTTCACTAATAAAAATCAAAGTAAAATTAGAAAACGTAAAGTAGTAAAAGGTATATGTGATAATAATTCTTCTAATTCTTCCATTCCACACTGGTCCCTGGCTGCCTCTAATAATTTCTATCTGTCTGCACGCTGTTGGGCAACAGTTCTCTATCCAGTCTCTGAGCGCGGTCACATTGAGACCTATTGTGCCTCGTCCCAAACTCTGTTAAAACAGGCCAGATGCCTTTACAAACTTGTGAAGAGTAGTGGGATCTCAATTCAATTTGCATAGCTTAGGGTCAGTGATACAACCACATACAAAGTGAAAATACCAAGAATAAATTTGATTTTATGGTGCTGAAAAATAGCAACTTTGTTTATTAAGTTTGGATACAATTAAAGGATTCAAATTACTGTAAAATTAAAATGTACAAATTAAACAAAAAGCAAATAATAACATCATAGATATCAAAGACGCAAATGATAATAAATCAGAACAAAACCACACAAAAACAATTGTAGATAAGAGGATAAGAAACAGTTTGGTGGAGGAAACATTTCAGAAAGAAGATTTAAAAGAAGAAGAAACAAAATAAAATATTTACATAGAAAAGATAAACTAAGTAATTTTTCACTTATTAATCTTCAATTAGCTTCTCAAGTAGAAAATTTGCAAATAGATTTGGATTATTTGGACTAAGATAAAAAAAGAGAATACATGAATTAGTTAAAAAATATCATGTATGTTACGCTAAAAATAAATTCTGTCTGATCAGTGAAGTATGGTGAAGCAGTAATTAAACAAATAGAAGATATATATGTCTCTAAAAAACCATACAGTTGCTCCATTCCAGATCACAAAAGAATAGGCACGAATTTCAAAACTGCTAGATAATAATTTAATTGAGGAATCACATTCACCGTTCGCTAGTCCAGTAACATTGACATGCAAACAAAAAAATTGCAAATAAACAACATTATGGATAGATTACAGTGAACTAAACTTGACAGTAATTCTGTAATCAAATATCTTTCCACAAATAGATGATCTTATCCCCAATGTGAGTAAATGTCAATGGTTCACAGCATCCGACATCAACTCTATATAATTTACAAGGAAGGGAAAAATAAACTGGAGGCTGAAGCTTTATCCCAAAATTCAGTGCTGGAAAGTTTTCAAAATGAAGATAATGGTTAAAAAATAGTTAACATTATCCACATCAGAAATTTAATGGCAGATCAAGAAGCCTTTAAAGAGGGAATAGAAAAATGAAAAAACATCACTGAAAATATGATTATGATTAAACTACTAAATTACATGAAATGGATTTACAAGTCCACAAATTTTGGTTTATATTTGATTGATAAGATCCATAAAATGTATGATCATACTGACCATAAACAAACATCTAAAAGGTTACAATCCTTTTATTATTGTAAAACAAGGTA